TCGCGATGACATATTGGCAGAATAATAGGAATATTTTGCACATAATCATCCTCACAACAAAAATGCATCCAACTCACTTGAATGATTAAAAAATGAAAACATCTTTCCCTATATATATATATATATATATATTCTATGTTATATACTTCACAATGTCGTATTTATAAAGTATTTGGGATATTTGTTGCGCAAATTAAGAAAAACTATTATGTTGATTTATTTATTTAAAAAATTATAACTTTTCAAATATATCCTTGTTAATTAAAGGAGTCGCAATTTCATCATTTGCGTAAATGCTTTCTCTGTTATAAGAATACCATTAAAAGAAGGGAAATCTCAATAAAGACCCTTTGACCATAGTTAATAAAAAAGAGAATCCCAAAAATTTTGAAATTTCACTATAGTTTAAGAGCACCAAAGTGAAATTAAAATGTTGAGAGAAATGACAAAAGTAACCCCTCCACAAAACATACCCCAGACGACGCAAGCATGAGTTGCTCATTTCTCTACTATCTATTGTTCATTACCCTACACTTAAGTTGTTCATTGACCTATGTTATTTGTTCATTATGTTCAATTGATTTCATTCCAAATATTTTTATCAGACTAATATAAGTTGTTCATCTCCTTACATACTATTGTTCATTACCCAACATTATATTGTTCATTGCCTTACTGTCTATTGTTTATCCATTACTTTCAGTTGATTTCATTCCAAATTTACTGAAAGATAAAAGAAGTCGTACTAGGAAAGCTTGGGGTTATGCAAGATCAAGGTTTGAGTTTTGCACTAGGTAGGTATGGTTTTGAAATAGAGTTGTTGAAGTATTAAGAGAGATTGTGTAGAACATATATATTTGTGGTGGCTTTCCTTTTATAAGCACGAAGTAGTAGTTTTTCCTTGACTATATGCTCAACTTTTTTGATAGAGCCATTAGCTACATTTTTCTCCTAAGTCTCATCCACTCTTTGGCATTTTTCAAGTGGTGCATCAGTTCTCCTTCTTTGCAAATAACCCCCTTTTTTTAAGAAGATTTATGTGGACTTTAGCTAAAATTACTTCTTTTAGCCCAAATTGTTAGGTTTGAGGCAAAACTCATATTTTGGCCTAAACAATTGCCCTTTGCATTAGCTAAATTCATTGCAAGTTTATATGGATATTTGATTTGTTCCATCCTCCATGTATTCCTAATGTATGTGACATGGGACTTAAGAAGCTAGTTGTTTTTAATCAAAGTTCTAAAGGCATAGAGTTCGCTTCTAGTTCATCATCTCTAAAGAGTTAGGTGCTCTTATAGAGTTGCCTCCTAGGTTCTTTATTTATAACTGGCTTTAAAGGCCTAAAGATGACATCTGATTCTTCACTTGTAACTTATTCCAAAGGCTCAAAGTTAGCCTCTGGTTCATCATCTTCGTAAAGATAATCTTTGAAGCTATCAAAAGAGTACCCTCAGGTTCTTCATATAAGATTTCTTCTAAAGACCTAGAGTTGGCCTCCAGCTCATTATCCTTGTAGAGCTCATTCTTGAAGCTATATGAAAAGTTCCCCTTGAGCTCTTCAAATATGCTTGGATCTAAAGGCTAAGAGTCAGCTATTGGCTTGTCTTCTTTACAAAGCTTATCCTTGAAGCTATTAGAGTACCCGTCGAGCTCTTATAATATGCTCTTGATAGACTTAAGGTACTTATTAAAGGCCATGATGCATTGCCTTAAAGGCTCTAAGATCTCTACTTGATGCTCTATGTTGCATTTTGAGGTTCTTGATACTTGTTCAGGGTTCTAATGTGTGGTTGGGAAGATGGCATACACCTTAGAGCTCTTCTTATCATACCTGTTTTTGGATCATAATGTAGTTAACCTGGGTACTATGCTTTTAGTATCACATTCTAGACCCTGAGATTAGGTATAATTTTTATCATTATTTTTCAATTTAATGGTATAGTTCCATGCCAGTTCCACAAGGATGTGGCTCCGTTCTGGTTAGATCCATGATTCTTCTAGAGCATAAATCATTATAGCATGGTTCTTTAAGTATTCTAATTCCTAGATCATTGGCTCTTTGGGAGCCCAAGTAACTAATTCCAAGAGTGTGTTAATCTATAACTTTGCTAGAGCACTGATATCTAAAGCATGGTTCTCTAAGTATTTAGGTTCTATAATCTCATTTGAGTATTTTGATTCCATATCAATGGCTCTTAGGTCATTGATTCTAGGGGTGAGCCAATTCATGAGTCTACTGGAACGCTAATCTCTAAGCATAGTTCTTTAGGTATTCTAGCTCTTAAATCACTAGCTCTTAGGGAGACACAGGGTCACTGATTCCAAGGGTCATTAATCTATGACTTTGTTGAAGTGATGATCTCTAGGTATTTTGGTTCCTAGATAGCTAGCTTTTAGGGAGCTTAGGTCATTGATTCCAAGGGTTCACTGATTTATGACTCTATTGGAGAGATGATATCTAGGTATTATGATTCTCAGATCACTAGCTTTTAAGGTGTCTAGTACTTAAGACAATTCTCTAAGTCATCAAGTTTAAAGAAATCATTCTCGCATTGAAAATATCCAACTCATTAGTACACATGCATAGATCCTATTAGGCATGCCAAAAAATTGTTCACAATGTTTGGGCGTGTTAAATGAGCATGTCCTCAAAAGGAGTGATGTACCTGACTTTTAAATCAAACAATAAGTTCCAAGTGTCCTTTACTACAACTTCCCTAAATACAAGTGCTTATAAGTAAAAGGAATAAATAAATAAAGATGAAGAAAAATGTGGGCATTTCATGGTGAGAGCAATCATGATATTGAAAATGATATAAGCAAAATTACATGAAATAAAAGATGGAAAAGTAAAAGAAAAAATGCTAGTATGTTGTTATTGCTATTTTGCTGGGAGCAGGCATTCTATTAGTTACTGGAGAACCCACTATTCTTTGCTAAATGCATAGCGTGCTAAGAAAATTATGTTGAATGTGCTAAAGGATAAAAGGAGTCACGCTAGGCAAGCTTGGGTGATATAGGGTCAAGGTTTAAGTCTTGTACTTAGCAAGTCTAGTTTTGAGGTTGAGTTGTTGAAATGTTTAGAGAAATTGTGTAGACCACGCACATGTGTGATAGGTTCCTTTTATTGGCACAAAGTAATAATTTTCCCTTGACATGCTCAACTTTTTAGGGCTATTAATTGCAATTTTCTCCTATGTTTCATCCACTCTTTAGCATCTTTAAAGTGGTGCACCGATTCTTCTTCTTAGCAAGTAATTACCTCTCTTTTAGAAGATTTATGTGGGCTTGGTGTCAGGTCCCACATCGGAAGGACTTGGGGAGGGTCCTGACTATATAAGTGGGTGCACTGCACACCCTAATATGTTAGCCTTTTAGGGAGAGAGTAATGGCCCTGTGACAAAGTAGCATTAGAGCCAGACCCGAATTTGCCCATTCAGTGGGTCCCTCTGGTAAGCCACCCATAACGAGACGTCATGGATTGGCTGGGGAGTTGCCAGGTCCTACATTGGAAGGACTTGGGGAGGGTCCTGACTATATAAACGGGTGCGCTACACGCTCTAATAAGTTAGTCTTTTGGGAAGAGAACAATGGCTCCATGACATTGGGCTAAAATTACTTCTTTTAGCTCAAATAGTTAGGTTTGAAGCAAAATCACATTTTTGGCTAAACAATAAGTAAAGACCATGATTTGTTATTAGAATTTCAATAATTTAGGATATATAATTGTCATTAATGTTCTTATAGGATCCATGTTTTCCCTAAACAAAAATATTAAAAGAAATTTTATAGAAATTAGGTTAGGTTCATTTTTTCCCTTAAATTATTCATAAAGGAGCACCTAGTATTTTAACTCTTTGTAGTAGCAATGTTATCTTTAAAATATTTATCATGTAACAATGTTACCCTTGATGTTGAATTCTCAAAAACGTTCATTAATTGTGTGGCAGAGGACTGAATGAACAAGTGGGCCGAATGAGGCCATAACTAATGGACATTTTTTAGGATTTAACATTCGGGAGAACATTATTACATTTTAATTATTTTAAAAGTGATACCACTATCACAAATAATTTAAAATATTAAGACTGTTTGAACAATCATTTAAGAATAAAAGAGAACTTCAACTCTTAGAGATTTTAAATCTTGTTTTCCCCCGTCAACCATATAAATCGCATTTTGTTTTATATATGTACACACACATATACATATATATAATTGACGCAATTGCGTGCGCTTGGAAGGCACGAGCACTGCTTGCACAAGCCCCGTACTCTAAGGCTGAAACCCTTGTTCGACTGTCAATGATGCATTTTTTAATTAAAAATAGAAAAACCACACTACTTATATATATCACCAAACACCTACAGTTGTTGGTTTAGTGGGATCCCACAGTGCTTAAAAAAAATTAAAAAAAAAACGAGATCAAATTTCATTTGACCTACACAGTCCACAATGTTACGAGATCAAATTTCATCATTAATTTTATAATCTTATTTGTTGACAATCTATAAATATTTTTGGAAGTACTCTGAGTCTGAGAGCATATTCTAGTTGATCTTGGTAATTTTCCAAAATCCAACTTACCTAAATTTAAAAAAAACATTAATTAAGTAAATAATATCACATCACTTGTCTGCCTTCAGAGAACATTGAGGAGATCAAACTTGCGCCATATATAAAGAAAGCTATCCACTTTTGACATTTCCTGACCCGAGAACCTCAAATTCAAAATGCGTCAATGGCATCTTGGCCAGAACTTTTGAGATATCAACCTCAACAGAAATGGATATTTTAACCACTCTCCTCTTACGTTGACCTAAACATCGCTCCAGTGCATGGCATCCCAAGTCCAAAAAGGACTTGATTTCTCTCCACTATAACTCTACAATAAATTTAAACCATTCAAATCAAATTTTAATGTTACAGATTAATCTATATTTTTTAAAAATTATCAATATAAATATTAAATCCAATCTAGTAGAGTAGTTTCTTCTGATAAAAAAACTCTCTCTATTATTCAATAGTCATAAAAAAAATATACATCAAGTTAATCTTTAAAAAGACACAATACATGTAAGCATAAGTTTCACTGAGATTAGATCCCCACTTGCAACTGCATCATCCTCAAGAGAGAGAAAAAAGCGGTCACCAGATTCTAACCAGTCCTCGCCCCCCCCTTTCTCGGCTGACTACATAACCATCTCCCCTCTCTCTCTTCTAACCATTCCTTTCCTTCTCTTTCTTGCAGGAGTATGCAAGTCTTGAGAGAAAGTTCACTGCACAATCACGATATATGTATAGCATTAGCATATCAAATTTATTAAAGAATAGAGTACAATGACGTCGTACAATTCATTTAGTCAATTTCATCTAATGGGATAAGGGATATTATTGTTGTTGTATTTAGTGGATGATAACATGATAAACAATTGGATCCCATTGATGAAGCTGCTTCAAAGTGTGGACTGCGGCTGAACAATTGCACTGCAGAGGCTGCAGACAAACCGAACCCTAAAATTGACAAATCATCAAAGCTTTATCTTCTCCAAAGGGTACAACAAATTCATCAGGAGTAATTCCTACAAGACTTTTTGAGATTATATACCTGTAATCTAGAAACTTCTTATTCTATCTTTTTGTCACATGATGCAGTTCAGCAAATTCCAACAGTGGATTATGGTACAGATGCCTTCATATATTCTCTAGCCCAAGGAGACAAAACCATAATGAAGCACCTTAAAAGTCAAAAAAAGAAAGGATTTTTAAAAGCCCAAAAAATGATCAGAAGTTCTATTCCTTTTTGACCTAGTTAATGGTTCCACTTCTAGTATATTCCTGAGGAATCATTTTGAGACACCTCGTGATTGAATATTGCCATTACATTTTTTGTAAGCAGCAGCATCGTCAACATCAAGTCTAACATTTCGTAACTCCATGCCCAGAACAGAAAGCAAGTCAAAAAAGTAACTGATTACAGAAGTATTAATACTTCCTAATTAACTCTTCTTCATATAAAAAATATTCAGGCAATTATCGCGCAGCTAGGACAGACAATAACTCACTGGCAGAGGCCACTAACCTACAGAATAAGAACATGGGAACATCATTATTGTTGAGCAATAAGTTTGCTTAAGAGATCAGTCACTGATAAATTTTTATCTACCAGAATGGAAATCTTTTAAACTGAAATCAAGATTGAGATATTACTTCATTTGAGTAATTACCTCTTCGTTATATAAATAAACATTCAGGCTCTCATCAAGCAGTTAGGACAGACAATAACCCACTGGCAGAGGCCACTGACCAACAGAAGAAGAACATAGAAACATTATTATTGTTAAGCATTAAGTTTCCTCGACAACTAAGTCAGTGAAAAATTTTAGCTGTCAAAACGGAAATTTTTCGAACTGAAAACAAGATTGAGATATTACTTCATTTGAGTAATTACCTCTTTCTTCATAAATAAACATTCAGGCTATCATCAAGCAGTTAGGACAGACAATAACTCACTGGCAGAGGACACTGAACTACAGAATAAGAACATAGAAACATCATTAATGTAGTTTCCAGTTAATTTTTCTAAGATACAAATATCTCACCATTTTAGGTTTCAAATTACAAATTTCAAAAACACTTTCAGGATTTCTTTTAACAAAAGGACAAAACTTAAGTACATTTTTTAGGTCTTTGCTATCAATAAGTACATTTTTTAGGTCTTTGCTATCAAGCTATTCCAATAAAAACATGATAAGTCATATTTTATAGCTCAGCACCACATAAATAAGCCTTGAAAAAAAAAATTTACCTCAAACATATGCTTCCGAAGCAAAGTCCTATGGAACTTTACTGAAGTCATGTCCTTAATAAAAACCTGCATGAAGAAAAACCAGAACCAAAATAGAAGGCGAAGAAATATATATCACAATATACGTAAAGAGAGATGGGGAAGGGGGGATAGTCCTTGTCAAATCTATCAGCCCTCGGATTTCCAGCATAAAAAGGGATAAGCCATTGCATTAATCTTGGATCCAAAGAAGGTAGTCAATTCGTCAATCTAGCTAGCAGAACGAAAAGGATCAGACTTTAGACCACAGCAGGGTTCAAATCAGAGGAATCCCAGATAGTCACATTGCACGCAGCAAGTAAATATAAAGCTGTCAAAAGCAACTTGATAACTAGTTTGTTATTGGCAAGGTTGGGTGACAAACTAAATAAACTAACATTTTTACAATCTCAGTGAGCTACTTATAGTGGCAGCATTGAACACAACTGTGACAAGCAATCTAAAACTGTTAAGTATATCATCTGGGACTTAAAAAAAAGGTCATAATTTAGTAAGTGCACGTTACCAGTTGACAATGAGCTGGCCCAACCTATTTACCAGCCTAAAATCTCAAGCTGAAATATGATCACTGTCAGTGGGATAAACTAAAGAAAAAGGCAACTAACATAGAAGTATTTAAAAAGTAAAAACAATATATCTAATGATGACATGAGAGCAAATCTATCTTTTGGTTTAGAAGAAATAGTCAGATGATTATACGCTGATGAATTAATGTATAATAAACCATTTATTTAATGGCATTGTCAAGTAACAGAAACATGCTTGGTATAATTGTGAGCGAAAATTTGCTATTTATATCCTGATCAATACCTAAGAAGTTCCCCGAACTACAGCACATATACAAGCTATCAAATCAAAATCAAAATAGATCAATATTAGAAGGAAAGGTGAAAGAATATCATGCGTTTCATTTCGGTATCACACAAACATAATCTCCAAAAAAATCTATGTATGTGTAGCTTCAATGAAATTTAAAAAGATTCTGTTCTATATCTTCCCTTTCACATTCAAGAGCATTTATGTTGACAAGTGCAGATCTTAGAATCAATAAGAAAGTAAAACTCCAACAAAGTCCTTTAAAGCATTTCGCTTCATTAATAACACAAATACAATAGTGGGATAAAAAACCACGCCCGTATTTGTCAATTCAAGCAACATTACAATTGCAATAGTGGAAAGAATTCTGTTCCATTTATATCTCTTATGACACCTAAAAAGGTCCAGAAATTACACCTTACATGCAACATGGATAAACGGATAACAGATCAAAAAGAAAAAGTAAAAGAAAGCAAGGTAAATAGGGAAAGTTTGCCATCGATGCACAACCCTTTTTCAGTATCTCATTAGCACGCCAGCAAAGGACATAATCAAGATACTGTTAACTCCAATAAAGTATGAAGTATAAAACAGATCCTAGCATCAACATAGGAGTTAAAGTAGGGAAAAAAAACTCATTTGAAAGCATCACAGCGTGTAGTTGTGTGAAGGAACCATTACTCGACAGCCAGATAATCATGTGATGATTGTTGAATCCCTTCACTATCTAACTCCCTCTCCCTCCCTCCCTCCCTCTCGCGCCAATGGTCACACATATTTGCTTACCAGTTCACGAACAAAAATCTTCCTTGCCTCACATTTGATACCTGTATTTTTATCCCAATAATTCAGAAAAAATTGTTTCAATGTTAGAAATTTACAGGCACCCCCCTCTTCTTCTTCTTCTTCTTGTTCTTGTTCTTCTTCTTTTTAAAGACTTCTCTTGCTCAAATATGTCAACCATTTACGATTACATTTCTTTCATTCTTGTTTACATGTTCCCCTCCAACTCGGCCCGTGAAAACATGGATGATATGGTAAGCCATCTAAGAATCAAACTTTACTAATTTATCATGACAATGAATAGCTGCAAACAAACACATTTGCAATGGGGGAAAGCGATCTAAAAAGCAGTAATATTTACTTAGAAGTGATGCATGCTAATTCATCATTATATCACCAGTCAGAGTTACATGTTTGAACTCTCCCTTGATCAGATGACATTGGAAACCAGTTCTCAAATTCTTGAGATTTAAAATAAAGCTGTAAAACAGTAATTACGATTTACGAGCTAGGGGAAAAAAATAAATAAATAAAACTGATATTGCCACAATTCTTCTCTAAAAAGAAACTGAACAAAATAACTCATGTACATCTGTGACTACACATAACCCTTCCCTGTTATCACTATTCGAACATTTATTGGATGCCTCAGTCAGACGAGGCCCAAAAACCAGATACATTTGTTATCCATCTTCATATGATCTGTTGGTATATGGTATTTTATACCTTCTGCTGACAGCAAAAAAAATGTTCCACAGTCAGAAGAAGTCAGAAACCCAAAGAACAGCCAATGTCCAAGAAGGCTAGAACCGGCAACTGGAAAGTCTAACCCTGCAAGAAGCATAAAGATTTCTCAGTATCATGAGTTTAACCGACACGAGAAGTTGAATACATAACGAACACTCATTTGTCTTAAATAAGATAGTCCATTTACTATTCTTTAATGGAGAAGGGGTTTAGGTTATCTTGAAGACAATGAAATTTCTCTCTTAACTAACAACATCCGTATCATCAATTTAAGCATGGACACACAGAGAAGGAACACAAACTAGCACAGGCCCAGTAATATAATTATTCATATGGATCTTGAAGAGTAGTGCGTCATGTCTAATACAAGTGTCCAAGATGTTTCAAACACAAATACGGCTTCCATCAACGAAGGACAAGGCTCACATAGATCAAATGTAAACTAGACTTCATCAGAAAAGATTCTGAAAAGCATGCCAACACACAATAAATCAAAACATGGTGAAACAAGACTCTGAAAGGATTACCTTGAGAGGAGCATCAGGAACTCGATACATGTCAGGAGTCACCGATGTTAACCACAAGCCCGGAAAAAGACCCTGCAAAAGATTAGCAACGCTTGCATCAAATCCCCACAAAAGTACAAAACAGATAATCATGTGATCAAATTGGGATTGAAAATTACATCAAGCAGTCTCTGCACAACCCTAGCTCTCTTCTTTGGCCGCCTGGGGGCCTTCGACCCAGTCCAGATCAAGAAATCCTCCTCAATTTCTTCCTTTGAAAGAGACACTGAAAGTTTGCGCTTCTTCTTTGCAGCTTTCTGCTCAGTGACAATCGATTCCGGTTGAGTTTGAGCAGGCGGCAAGGGTTTATTCTCCTGCAACGGCGCTCCATTGGCATTTGGAGGCTTTGTCACTGCCCGTCTCGGCCTCAGATTCCAAGTCTTCGCCACAGGTTCTTCATCGTCATCCGCCCATTCGGTATCATCCTCGGCATCAGTATCAGCCTTGCTCCTCGCCGGTGCTCGGGTAAGTACAGTTTGATGGAAATGCGATCCCTTCAGTTTCTCCTCCTTTTTCAGTTTCAGCTTCTTGTCCGAACTTTCAACCGAATTCAAAGCTCGAATCTCGCTAGCAGATACAGTCTTCAAATCATCGTGAGCAGAATTGCCCGATCCAGAAGAGTTTGGAGGCCGGTAGGACAACTTGATGAGCCTGTTGTCATTCTTTCGAGCAGAGCGATGCTGATCCTGATCAGAATGACGCGAAGGCGACAGATGAGTGGGACCAAGAGGCCTGCGAAAGCGCTGGGAATTGGACTGATTCATCGACCACTTCAAGTTGAGAGGAAAATTGTGAAGCGGCTGGTGAGTCTTTGCAGGAGAGAACGTCGAAGCCATGGACGGCGATTGGCAGATGGACGGCGGTGGAGGAGGAGAAGGCGGAGGAGGAGGTATTTCGGATTTGGGTACTGAATGAAACACCATGAATCAACTGGGTTTCACAGGACGTAGATTATGCTTAATGGGATTCCGTTAATGAATAAGAGAAATCAAGAAACCCATCAAGATCAACAGAGAGAAGACGATGAAGGCAGAAAAATTTGAGGGATTGAAACGAGCCCTTGAATTAGGGTGAAAAGTTGAGAAATTGCGAAGAATGAGAGCAATTTATGAACAGAAGAGGTAGGAGGAAGTTGTGGTGCGTCAAACTAGACGACGGTTTCGAGCTATGACACCTGCCTCCGGAAGAAGAATGTAAGTAACAATTCTTAGAATGCGAGATCAGAACTTTAAAAATCTAAAAATGTTTTCAGGGTTTTAAAAAAAAAAAAAAAAAAAAAAAAAAAAAAAAAAAAAACAACTTACTAAACCATCGCTCTAGTCAGATCAGGGTATCTTCTAACTAGAGGTAGTATTATACTCATTTTACCAACCGCACTACTATGGGTTACTCTTCTTGTTTCTCCCTTTTAATATAGCATGAGAAAAGCTATTATTTATTATTTTATTTTTATTTATGAGTAAAATCATATATTTTAATAAATATTTATTATAATTTTTTAAATCATCTCTCATAAAATTATAATTTTTATTTATGAAAAATAATTAATGAAACTTTATTTTGAATAAGTATAATGATATTTTAGTTTAATTCTTTTATTCCAGATACAATTATTATCATTAACTAATTTTTTAATATTGATATAATTATTTTCTCTTATATATAAAAATAGAATGAGTATTAAAAGAAAATTCATGTTTAGAAGCCATTGGTGATATTTAATATAAAGTACTTAATAAAGGTATTAATTATATTTTTTAATGTTATTGTTGTTTAAACTCATTAATTATGAGAATAAATATGATGTAAATTTTTTATTTTAATATAAGTAAAATTAAAAGTTTATTCTTTTTTTTTGACAAAATTAATGAATTAACCATCTTATATTGGCTCCAATGAGATAGTTGAATGTCTCTTATAATAGAGACTAAAGGAAGTATTACTATAGTTCTTAATACAAGACAAAGTTATTTAACTTCATGCTTATTAAAAAATGTTGGTTATATGATATAATTGAAAAAATATATATATGTAACTTTCTAATTTTATCTTAAATTTTCTAGTCCTTAGTATAAAACAAAATTAGAGTAATTACTTGTTTTATATTCATCGCGAATTCAAATTCATTATTAGTACCCAATGTTAGATTATTTTTTACTAAGAAATTATTAATATGAATTAAGGTATTCATTTTACCAACCACATGAAAATCATTATCATTATCATTATCATTATTAATTATCAATATTTTTTAAGTAACATCTTAAATTTGAGCTTTGTGAATATTCAAAATTATATTAAGAAAGCAATTTTGCAATTAGGAGTACTCAAACCGAGTTGGATTTAGATTCATTGTTAGCACCTAATACTAGATTATTTGCTGCCAAAAAAAAAAAGCAAACTCCTTTTTTGTGCACAACATAGAATGTAAAATGAAATGACTTGGAATATCCGTGATTTTATACATAGTATGTTTTGTTAAATATATTTTGATAAATTTAATATATCTAAAGTTATTTGTCGATAGAGTTGAATAACAATGTATGATCAAAGCGAGGTTTCTATAATTATATTCATTTTACCAATCACACTATTTATTAAGAAAATCCATATTTCTTAAGTAACATTTTAAATTTGAATTTTGTGAATAAAAAATACTAAGAAAGCTTTCCCTACTTAGAATTAAACCCCATTGAATTCAAATTCATTTATTAATGCTATGTTTTGTTAAAAAGTACTCATTTTTATGTGCATTTTATAGAGCTTAAAATAAATTAAATTATTTATGAGTTATAAATAATATATTTTTTGTAAATTGAATTATTCAATAAGCGTTTACATGCTGAAATTAAAGGCTTTTAGAAGAACCAATAAGAAATGTAAAAGCAATCAGTTTTGAGTGAATGATAGGTTAATTCTTCTAAAATAGAAAAATAATATGATTTACTTTCGTGTGAGATGTCATAATAAAAATGAGATTTTAAGAAAATTCTTTATGAATAATTTTTGTGTGAAATTACTTTAATATCCATATGCAACTAATTTTATATAATTCATAAGTTTGATATAAATACTTGTAAATTTGATTTCACCGATAACTAATATAAATAATTTAGAAAATCACAACTTTTACCAGCAATTTTTTTTATCCAACAAAATTCAAATAATTTTATATAGTTAACAAGTTTGATACAAATATTTACAAGTTTAATTCTACTAATGACTAAAATGATTTAAAAATTATAATTTTAAGTAAAGTCTAACTAATTTAACATCATTCTGTAAGTTTGGTATAAATATTCAAAAGTTTGATTTTATCAATGACTAAAACAATTTAAAAAATTATAACTTTTTAAATCGTAGAGGGATATTAAAATAATTTCACACGTAAATTTAATTTCAAAGAAGTTTCTTGGACTGTCATTGCCATATATTATAGGACCAAATTATTATTTCTCTATTTTAGAGAGATTTATATATCATTCTTGCAATTATTTTTTTTATAAAAAGAAATGTTTTTAAGTCTTATAAAAATGTTAAGGAAGATGAAAACGATCTCATTTATGGCATTTAAGAAAGGATATAGCATTAAATATTGTGTAGAGAAATAAGGCTCAATTAAATCATCATTAAAAGTTAATAATTTAAGTCAAACTTGTGGGACTACTTTAAACAAATTTAGAAAAATTTTAGAATCAGATATAAAATAAATCATATCCCTTTTATTTAAAAATATAAAATATTTTTAATCAAATCTCACTCCTAATAAAGTAGTTATTTACTTTTAAACTAATCTTATTTTTTTATATTTATCCTATTAATCACGCTACAATAAATATAAAATTATTATTACTAAGGATACTTTAAAAAAATAATAATTACATTTTAAAAAATTAGAAATATTTTATATTTTTAAATGAAGTGAGTATTTTTAATTTAATTAAACTTTTTGAGTCAGCCAGAAGAGGCACAAAATTTTTTTGGGATAAGCTTATCTGCGTTCGGCGATCCTGAAATTCTGCAGTTTTTTTTTTCTTTTCTTTTCTTTTCATGATGGCAAGATGGAGAGAGAGGGGGGGGAGTACATACCTACTCCGATAAAAAATACTCTTTTTATTTTAAATTATAATATATTTTTAGATAAAATTTTATTTACTAATATATCTTATTAAATATATTCAAAAATTTTATCTTTTCAAAATAAAATATAAATTTTTTAAAATATTTATCATTTAATATATTACAAAGAAAAGTGATGAAAATTAATTATAGAAAGAGAAAGAATATTATTAGAATTGAAGTATTTAATGAAATCTTAATCTACTTAAAGTGTTTTATATTTTGGGACAGAGAAACTCTTTCAAAAGTACATTATAATTTGAGACGGAAGGAATATAAAGTATTTTTAATTAAATCTCACTTTAATAAAATAATTATTTACCTTCAAACCAACCTTATTTTTTCATATTTACTTCTATTTGAAAAGCTATTTCACATTAAAATAAATATAAAATAACTTATTCAACAGGGTATTTTTAAAAAAAATGTAATAATTACATCTTAAAAGATTAAAACTGTCTTATATTTTTGAATATCCAACTCTTCAAAAAATGCCATACATTTTTAATAGAGGAGTATAATAAAAACTTATCTTCTACTTTTAAAAAATATAAATATTTTTAGAGAATATACTAATTAATAAAATTGATAAATTAACTACTAAAATTAAAATAGATTAAAAATATTTTTAAAATATAAATTAATTTAAAATACATTAGTTCCCAAATTGAAAAAGTAAACTTGAAAACTTGAATTTTTATTTTTAAAGATATAAATTGAGGTAGTCTTTTAAAAACAAACAAAAATTAAAATTAAAGGTGATAACAATTAGGGCTTTTGAGTCGGGTCAATTAACCTGAGTTACTTGGGTCATGTTTCATTGTCTAAATTTTTCTTTATATTCGAGCTCATTCGAAGTAAGTTTTCAAAATATTGACTTTAGTGGCTGCAAATTAAAGCCTTTATTCATCTCTTCACGCGAGTGTCACTTCCCTCTTTTTTCATCATGGTAATAAAATTTAAATTTATTATTGAATCAATTAAGATACTGATCAAGGATTAATAATTAAAATTATAATTAAATCATGATCAAACTAATTATAAATAAAATATTTTATTAAATTAGTTAAGATACTAATTTAATAATTTACTGGTTGAATGAAACATATTGATCTAGATTTTCATACTATACTTTTCATTTTCCTCTTTCAAACATAATACCATTACATGTGCCACTTCTCTTTTTATTTAATAAAAAGAAAAAAAAATTATGAATAGGTCCTGTACAATGAATTAATTTATAAATAAGTCTTACAAAATTTAAAAATTACAGTCAAATCCCTTAAAACTTAAGTATAATTTAAGTTTAGGGTGCAATGACAATACTAGCCATGTTAATTTGGCTTTTCATTTATAACTAAAAAAATGTTGAGAATATGGGCCGATTTACACAAGTTGGCTTGAATATTTAATTATAAAGTTAGGTTAAAAAAATATTGAGCCGTATAAAAATAGTGGCCTAGACCAAAAAATTTGTGACTTAAATGGGTTAACCCTGACTAGTTAGAGTTGGCCAATTTAACCAACATTATTTTATAAAAATAAAAGAAAATTAAAAAATAAAAAATGGAGGGACTTTTAGCACCAAAACCCTGCAAGAGAAGCAGATTTTAGAATAAATCATGATGGGATTGATCAATCTCATATAGTTATAAAGCAAATTTTTTTAATTGCATGAAATATCATAATAGAATTTCTCATTTAAGTATAATTTTAAAAAAATGATGAAAAAATAATAAATGGATTGACAGGTTATTTCATTTAACCTACCAACCCACTAGGGTTAGGTTAGAATTTTTTCAACTTATATGAAAATTGCTTAAATTCAACTCATTTTATATTTTTCTCAATCTATATGGACCGACTCATATGGTTTAAACTAGTCTATATTCCTAGTTTTAACTATAACTTCATAATTTATAAGTAAAAATTCATAATTCTCAATTCAAATTTTTTGTTTAACATTTAATATAACATAAAATCTCCATGAAGTTAATTATGCATGCTTAACTTCATGAAGCTTCCATGTTTATCAGGCATTAAATAAGAAATTTAATTTGTGAATTATAAATTTTTA